ATATATATATATTATATAAATAAATATATATACGCATATATATATATATTATATATATATATTATAAGATAAAAAAGTAGGAGGATAATTTTTAATAAATTCATATTTACGCCTGGTTAGCAGTAAACCAAACTACTTTGGTGGTAATTTAAAAATCTTATTATTTTTCGATAAAAAGACAGTCTATCAGGAGCAGCCAAAATTGGCCAAAATCGTGACTTTCAAATGCAATTTTAAGGCCTTAATGAATGAAATTAATAATTTTAATAATGCTTTGTGTAGACTAAGTACAATCTTTATACCAAACCAAAAAAAATACAAATTATCATCGTCTTCATAGTTAAAATCAGCTTCAAAGTTGGCAATTTTCAAACTTCAATTTGGTACCAAGGCAGAAGAATTTTTTTTCAAAAACTGATTTCATATTCGGAATCAGCGCCTCGAAAACTATCAGAATCGGTCAAAACATTTGAAAATCGCGAAAAAAAAATTTAATTTCATTAGTAAATTTTGGTTTTGCTACCAATGATTTCGATTTTTCGCAGCGGTATGTGGATTTATCCAAAAACGGATAGATTTTCGAAATCAGCGTCCCAAAATCACAAAACAATCAAAACATTTTGAAAATCGCGAAAAAAAAGCCGATTTTTTAAAAAAAAAATCGATTTTGCAACCAAAGATTTCGATTTTCGGGGAGTGTATGGGGTTTATCCAAAAATAGATAGCATTTTTGAAATCAGCGTCCGAAAATCTTTTGAATCAGTCAAAACATTTCCAAATAGCGAAAGCAAATCTATTTTTTTGCTAAAATTCCGATGTTGCAACCAAAGTTTTGTTGTTTTTCAGTGGTACACACGCCCTGAAAGCTCATCAAACAGGATAATTTTCGTCCTTGGCGTAATAAAAAATCATCCAAAACTTTGTCCAATAAGTTCTTGATCATAAATTTCCTTTGGTATAGGGGAGACCCAGATTTTATGGTTCCTGTTCCTATATGTGCATAAGTACCTGTGAAAAGAATAAATTTTATTCTAAGGATATACATTTAAAATAAGATTTATTTTTTACTTAATACCAGACTAGTAACAATAAGTAAGCTTTGAATATTTTATTTGAAAATAAAACCACAAAAACTTAGTGAAAAAAAAAAAACATTCGAATAATTTGTGGGTAAGTACAGCCGAATAGTTACATCATTTATGTTAATCGAATAACTTAATACTCGTATCATTTCCAAAGTTTAAAAAAAAGCTCTTAAAACAATCCATAGATAGTATTCATGGGTTCAACTTCAAATAAATCATTTATATAATCGAATAATTTGATATCATCACT